ATTTGGGGGAGGTGTTGTACATCCAGTAGGTCGAATAGACTTACCCATTCGTCTAGGCGAAAAAGGGGAAGGACGCCACATGGTGGTCCAGTTCTTAGTTGTTGAAGAGCTAACGGCCTATAACATGATTTTGGGGCGTCCTACCTTGAACGAATCCAAGGCTGTTATCATTCCTTCTCTTATGCTTCTCAAGTTTGAGAGGGGTGATGGAACAGTCGGCTCCCTACGGGGAGACCAAAAGATGGCAAGGGAGTGTTACCTCTGTGATTTCAAACCCACCGTGGTCGTATCCAGCTCTAGTGGAGAAACTACTGACCTTAATCAAGTTAAGGAAGCCGCGCCTGCTGCTACAACAGCTGGCAGAGAAAGGCTAGCTAAATGGTAACCGAGAAAAAAGACAGGCAATATAAATCACTGACCGGTCAAAGGCCGGATGAACTCTGTCCCCAGCCGGTGGTGAACACATGAGCATCGTCTTAGATGACTCTCGTCCTGATCGCACTGTTAAGGTTAGGACGACTGCTTTTGCTGAAATCGGTATAGAATTGCACCACTGTTAAAAGAATTCAAAGACATCTTTGCCTTTGAAATGAACGAGATGCCAGGAATCAGCCCGGATCTAGCCATCCACAAGCTTGCTGTGGATCCCAAAAAGAAGCCGGTAAGGCAAAAGAAGAGGAACCATGGTGAGGAAAGAAGCCAAGCGGCAACCGCCGAGGTGAAAAAATTGTTAGATGCTGGGTTCATTCGGCAATGCTATTTCCCTGATTGGGTTGCCAATGTTGTGCTTGTAAAGAAGCCGTATGGAACCTGGCGCATGTGTGTTGACTACACAAACTTGAACAAGGCATGTCCGAAGGATAGCTATCCTCTCCCAAAGATCGACAGTCTGGTCGACTCTACAGCCGGCCATGCCTTGATGAGCTTCATGGACGCCTATTTAGGCTTTCACCAAATACCCTTGTGGAAGAAAGATCAAGAAAAGACGACATTCGTCACTGATCAGGGGTTATTCTGCTATACCGTGATGCCGTTTGGTTTGAAGAATGCGCTTGCTACCTTCCAGAGAATGATTAATACAATCTTCATTAATCAAATTGGAAGGAATGTGGAGGCATACATTGGTGATATGATAGTCAAATCCAAACTTCAGACGGACCATCTTACGGATCTCCGAGAAACATTCGCCACACTCAGGAGGCACCAGGTCATGCTCAATCCCAAGAAGTGTGTTTTTGGTGTTGAGTCTGGGAAGTTCCTCGGATTTCTGATTGATCAAAGGGGGATAGAGGCCAACCTGGAAAAAATACAGGCAGTCATAAACATACAGTCGCCCCGCACTGTAAAGGAAGTTAAAAAATTAACAGGTTGTCTGGCGGCATTTGGGAGATTCCTCAGTCGGTTAGGCGACAAGTGCCTCTATTTCTTCCAAGAAATCAAGAAGAAGACTATGTTTGAATGGGGGACAGATGCAGAGGTGGCCTTCCAAAAGTTAAAGCAACACTTGCACTCTTTGCCTAGGCTTGTCAGCCCTTTGTCAAAGGAAGTTTTATACATGTACTTGGCTATCTCTGATCATGCTCTCAGTGCCGTTCTCCTTGCTGAAAGAGATGGCTGCCAGCTCCCGGCCTATTTCATCAGCCATGTCTTGAAGAATGCTGAGTTACGGTACCCCATGGTTGAAAAATTTGGCCTGGCCTTTTTCATGGCAGTTAAGAAGCCGAAACCTTACTTCTTTGCACATCCGGTCGTGGTCTACACTGACCAACCAATCAAGCGGTCGCTGACAACCATGGAATCATCCGGCCGAATGATTAAATGGGCAATTGAAATGCAAAGCCTAGAAATTACTTTTGATCCAAGGAAAGCAATGAAGGGGCAGGCACTTGCTGACTTCATTCTAGAAATGACTAGGCCGGCTGATCTAGAAAATCCTGTCCAAGTCTGGAAGGGTATATGTAGACGGGAGCTCCACAATGAACGGTTGTGGTGCAGGCGTCATATGTTAGTCTCCTGAGGGAGACAAGTATGAGTATGCACTACGTTTCAAGTTCCAAGCTTCGAACAATGAGGCAGAATACGAAGCCCTTCTAGCCGGAATCCGCATGTGTAAGGCGGCTGGGGCAAAGAAAGTGGATACCTGTTCAGATTCACAATTGATTGTTAGCCAATGCCATGGTGATTATGAAGCCACACATCCGGCTATGATCAAGTATCTAAAGGCGGTCAAAGAAGAGGCTGGGACACTTGAAGAATTCCACCTGAGTCAAGTGCCTAGGTCCGAGAATAACCAGGCGGATGTCCTCTCCAAATTGGCATCATCCGCCTCTTGTGACACACCAAGGTCTGTTTTCTAGGAAGTGATGGAAAAAAGGAGCATTGAGGAGGAACCCATTAGAGTCCTTGATCGAAGCTCAACCTGGATAGATGGCATCCGAGCATACTTAACAGACGGCACCTTGCCGGATACTTACCCAGAGATGATCATAATGAAAAAGCGTGCATCCAACTTTGAAATTCATAATGGGGAACTTTTCAAGAAGGGCTATCTTCAACCTCTTTTGAAGTGTGTTACCCCTGAAAAAGGGCCAAGAGGTCCTTGAAGACTTGCATTCAGGGTTCTGTGCCTCCCACATAGGCGGTAGGAACCTAGTAAAGAGAGCCAGGCGGCAAGGCTACTTTTGGCCTACCCTAAAAGCATACGCCATGGAGATGGTAAAAAAAATGTGACAAGTGTCAAAGGTTTGGCAAGCTCATCCATCGTCCGGCCACTGACCTGACGATAATCCATAGCCCAATACCATTCGCTAAATGGGGCATGGTCATTCTGGGTCCGTATACGCCTGCTTCAGGCAGTTGAAGGTACATTTTGGTTGCTGTCGACTACTTCACCAAATGGGTAGAGGCGGAGGCAGTCAAAGGCATTAAAACAAAAGATGTTATCTCCTTCATTTGGAGAAATGTCATCACCCGGTATGGGGTACCCATGTCTATGGTCTTTGACAATGGTCCTCAATTTGAGACGCGTGCTCTTAAGAACTGGATGGGAGACCAAGGGATCTCTCACTGTTTTACATTAGTCGGCCGCCCCCAAGTAAACGGCCAGGTTGAAGCCTTCAACAAGTTAATCTCTGATGACATCAAAAAGAAAATTGAAAGAGCTGGCGGCCTATGGGCTGACGAGCTACCGCATGTTCTGTGGGTCATCAGGACGACTGAATAAGGGGCGACTCGTGAAACCCCATTTCTCATGGTTTATGGTGCAGAGAATGTTTTGCCTATTGAGCACTATGAGCCGACTCTTCAAGTCATGCTTTATGACGAAGAGGCTAACTGGGAGGCCATGCGGCTAGCATTGGATTCACTTCCAGAACGCAAGGGCAATGCAGCCTTGCGCCATGAGATGTACCGTCTGAGAATGACGACAACTTACAATAAAAAAGTGCACAAGCGCCCCTTGAAAGTAGGGGACTTTGTGTTACGAAAAATGGAAGCAGTCGGTAGGGCCAATGAACAAGGAAAACTGACTCCTAACTGGGATGGCCCCTACCGAATCTATGAAGAAGTTAGAGGCGACACCTACCGCCTGGAAACACCAAACGGCAGGCAGCTAGCTAGAACATGGAACATAGACAACTTGAAAAAGTACTACTTCTGAGATTTGTAAATTATTTGTATATGTAAGCGTATCAATAAAATTTGCAATTTATTTTTCAGTTTTTTGCAAGTCTCCTTAGTGGGGCAAGCCACTTGTACAATACACAGTCGGGCTTATTTCATTTAATCACTCTCATTTGAGTAAAAATGTTCAAGTCTAGACAACTTAGCAAACTGTTCTTTTCTGAACAACCTGATGAGACCACAGGCCGGATGATCAACCTAACGCCCATGGCCGGATAATCCTTACAAAATTAAACTAATACATTTGTCCCAAACAAGAAGACGTCCGGCGACATCCATCCGAATGAATTCGTCACAGAGAGCATCTCCCATTTGGGTGGCACATTGCTCTATAAACCTTAAACAAACGACCCTACCGAATGTCTCCAGACAGCCTCGTAGTCGTTTGACATGAGACGAAGATAAACGTAGCACTTTACTACGAACACGCGGTAGACAGTTAAAATCTAAGTCAGAAACCGCCTATTATGCTTGGAACAATACGGTCGGCATAATTTGAGTAAATAGCTAAGCAAACCTTGGCGAATAAAGAGGTATCATGCGGCCAAAGCCGCCTGTTTCTTCTACTCACTCAAATAAAAGTGGTAGTTTGATTAACCCAAGGGGTTAACTCATAGTCAAACTAGCAACCTTGGAATGAAACCTAAACGGTGCGAACCAAACCGCCTGTTTTTTTGGCAAACAGGGGTAAACTCGACCACTATTCTTGCTAGGGTTGGATAAATTGCTAAAGTAACCGCTTGTAAACCAACCGGCGTAGTTACGGCAGTTGGACATCTCGTTTGACGCCTGTTTATGTGAAGGCACCTTAACAGACGGCCAGATAACACCCAAGAAAAAACTAAGTAGAAACTTAGTATATTGCGGTTTACTATAAGGCTGAGAGCAGTTATACTAGGTTTTCGCTTGTGCAATGGCCGACTGACTGCCTGGTTTGGGGAAATCACCATAGTGATTGATTGACCTAGATTTAGTAATACTCAAAAGTATAAAAAAAATTCCAAGTCAACCAAATCACCTTCGAAAACCAGGCGTTAGTCGTCTAGAGGCAAGAACAGTCGATATATATATAAATCATTCATCAAAACAAGAAGCAAGCTACATACACTTAGAAAAATTCATGAAAAGCAATAGCAAAAATTGAAAATTTGGAGAAACCGGCAAAAACGGCCGAAAGATTAATATAAACAGTCGGCCAGGAGACCGACAGAAATGTTGAAAATTGAAATTGTCAAAAAACCCGGACCCCTTGGTCGGGTAACAATACAAAACAAGCAGCACACAGGCAGAAGAAAGTTGACATATAAGATTACGGGAGTTCAAGCAGTTGGAGGACGTTTAGTGTCACCAGCCGCTTCCTTTGGATCCTCAACCGGCGGCTGTCCTTTCTCGGCATCTGTCTCCTGCTGCGGCTGTTCTTCTTCAGCATCCGCCTCCTCCTCCTCCTTGTCATCCTCTTCTTGGTCCGACTCCCCGGAAGTGGAGTCAGACGCCTCATCCTCCGCATCTTCCTCGCCATCTGCCTGCTCCATGATCTTCTTGTTGAATTGAACAGTATAGACGGCGAATTGGCTCTCCCATTTTCATAGCCGGACTCTGGGAAGAGGGCCGCCCAGGTGATCATCATGATGGCGCTGCAGTCGTCCATCATGTCCTAAACAATGGCCATCTTCTCCTCGCCAACTTTCTCATTAAGCTTTTGGGTGAGCTGAGCCTCTTGATTCTGCAGGCGGCCCTTAAGTTTATTTACCTGCTTGCAGAGTCACTCGGCTTCCTTATCCGCCTCCTTGAGAGGCGCCAGATCAGCTTTGAGGTCCATTACAGACTTCTCTAGCTCCAAGATCTTCTGCCTGCCCGCCTCTAAGTCCTTCTTGACCTACAAAGTGGCGGACGCCTGGTAATACAGTATGTCAGTGGTCAAAATCTCGTTTTGAGCTATCTGGAACATAGCTTTATTAGAATCAAAGGCCGCCATGGCCTTCGCAGCTTTTACCTTTTTGTTCTTTTTGGTGTTGGATTTGCGGAGACCATACACTCACAGCATAAACTGCACTCGGCCAAAATACAGACGTTAGTTACAGGCGGCTAGGAATTTAAATATGCAACAAGTCAAGAAATTCCACCAAGTATACCTTAGCAAGAAGAGCCAGGATGGTTTCTAAGTCAAGGGTGCCAACTCCCTTTACAGCTTCCCTCTCCTCGAAGGGGATATCCCTTAGCATGGACTTGGCGAGTTGAACCAGGTCCGACTCTTGAGGGGCATCTGCAAAGTAGACCCTGATTAATATGCCGCATAAAAACAGAAAGCAGGCCGACTGATTTTAGAGGAGCCGGCTGCTTGATGAAACTTGGGAGATTTGAACTAATTATACCTCTCGCCGCCTCCTTCTATCTCAAAGGCCGGCTGCTCCCGGGGGCAGCTGCAGTTCTTCCCCCGCTTTGGGGAGTCCTTCCTTGCCGTTCGGCCGCATGTCTTCTGGCGTTGCCAGGAGTCGACACATCCCCAGTCGTCTGTTTCCTGACCTTGGGATCCGGCTGGGTAGAAGAGGAAGGTCTGACTAAGTCGCTTTGCAACACAACATTGAGTCAGAAACAGGCGACAGATATAAAAAGAAATTGTGCTATGTTAAAGTAGCTCACCTTAGGCGCCTGTTTGGCGGGCGACTCCTTAGTGGACCGCTTGCCCAGAATGGCCGTGCGATATTGGGCGGCTACTTTCTTGGAGGTCGAGATTTTTTCCATAGCTTTATCTGCAAAAGATGAATCAAATGGTTAGGCACTAAATCAGCCAAGTCTTTCAAGACACTGTAATAGGCGGTCCACTACCTCTCGGCATCTCCTCGCCAAGGTCGCAGACGGCTAGATATGTCCCATCGTATAACCAACTATACTTTGGGATGTAATTTGAGGGATGAACTCCCTCACCCCAATCTCGGGGTTCGCTGGTCTAGGATCTCTTCTTTTGCTCTTTGAGGAACAGGCGAGAGATCAGATCCGCCTGTCAGGTAAGGTGGATCCTTGTTCCACCTATTGAATTTCTTGTTCTTGACCTTGTCAAAGTGGGAGACTATGTAGAGGTGTTCCTTCAATCCTTCTACTTGTTCTCCTTCCCCGTGGTCATCATGGAGCCCTTGTGGCTAGTCAGCTGGAACCAACCGGTCCCGCTTGTTTTTGGGGTCCGACTAAGATAGTTCATGTGAGCGAATGCTTCAAAGTTAGGCTCCACTTCATGCATCTCATAATCGCCAACATAGCCTAAAATATTGAACCACGAGTTTGGGGCCAGTTGCCAGACTCCCAGCTGGTACCCGTCTAAAATCCTCTCTACAGCCGGATGCAGAGGAAATCTCAAGCCAGCCTTAATGGCGCTTCATAGCAGCCAAAACACTCGTCCAGGTAGCTGGCCGCCTCTGGCCAGACTACGGTATCCTCGGCATTCGGCACTGTAAGAATATAACCATGACCCATTACGTGGTCAGCCCTAAAGCTACCAATCTTTTTAGACATGGCCCTCCGCCTGCCTTTGGGAACGTGGCAATAGTAAGGGGCATACATGTCTCTTTGGGTTGCAGTCGGCTCTTTCCAGCCTTCTCTTTTTTCTACTGAATGACTTTCTCTTGCCGCATGCAGCCGAGAATGCTTCACCTCAGAGTTGTTAGAGTACCGACTGGAGGTGCTGGGCTCAAAGTCATTGCTCGAGCTCTCGGGCAAAGCAGCAGCCTGCCCAGATAGATCAATGATAGGAGGGTCATTCTGCACCTCCTCCCCTGATTCTGCCAAGATGGAATCACTCAGGGTGCTTGGGGCGCTTGGTGGCACGTCCGAGATCTCGCTAATAGGAGCATAAAATGAGGAGTCATCTAAATTTGTTATCCTGGCCGTTCTCTTTGTTGTGGCCATGGTGTCCTACACAGACACATAGACAGTCGGACTTGCGGCAGTTCGCAAAGGGTGGTCCATTATGGGGCAATTGACACTCCTAGTTCTAGATTCAGCCGTCCCCGGTGACCGGTTGATCACTAACCTAGGTCATGCCGTGTACTTTTGGGCTACCATTTTCGAAAAAAGAAAAAAAACCAGAGAAAGTGCAAAAAAAAAAAAACAGGCGGTTACCTTAAGGTAAAGAAGTTTGAAAACTCTTGAACAATCGGGCGGCTGAAGGAGCAGGCGATCTGAGATCTGGCGGCAGTCAGCCAAATTGTCAGAGCTTATGTCCAAAGTTCTGTCTGAAAAAGTTTCTAGAATGTCCAAATGATTTAAACACCCCCTATTTATAAGGAGGAAATTTCAAGGGTTTTAAAAAAAAAAAAAAGAAACGGTAAAAACCGTTAGCCAATCAGAGCGTGACATCTGTCACAGGCGCCACGTTGCAAGCCACGTCACCCCTGTGAGGGGCAAATGATTAGGGGATTTTTCCCTCGCCACGTGGACCACTCAGGCTCTTCCACGTGACATCCATGTGGACCAACCAGAGTCCGGCACGTACCACCTCACGAGAGGTCCAAGGTGGACCAATTAGGCCACGACACGTGGCAGATAGGTAGCCAATCAGGACACTGGCCTCCAACGACCCAAAATTCCTAGGCAAAGCCCAGTCCGTCCTAGGTTTACTGAAACCTAGTACTGAGCACGTTTTCCAACACCCTATACAATGGAAAAGTTCCCCCTCGAGGACACACAATTAATTTACATTAACTCACAATCAGAGAAAGTCAGACATTTGACACCTCGAACTTAGCAATTACACATTACAGATTCTCTCTTGGAATCCGAGAGGGACATTACTTTCCGCACTTTACTCCTCAAACACGTTCTAACTTGATCGTCGGAGGCACATGAATCTCCGTTGTTTTGCAGGTACAGGCGTCCAGAAACCAGTCCTGAAATTGTAACTCTCCCGCAAGACATCAAAAAACCCCGAAACAAGTACTATCAAATTTCAAACCAGAACCGTTTAACTGCCCGAATCCAAACGACACGATAAAAAACCAATTTTTTGAAATAAAAAACAGACCCAAACCGTAATTTAGTAAACCCAAAATAAAACCGATTCGAATAATGTTAATTCGCAGAAGAACTGAACCCGTTAACGAACCGAACCAGTTATAAACCGAACTAAAATAAAACTGAACCTAAAAAGAACCGAACCATTTCTAACCCAAAACCGTTTGAACCAAGATAAACCGTTTACACCGAATCGTTAACAAACTGCAACCCGTCTGCACCGAACCGTTTACTATCCGGACCGTTTACAACCCGAATCGAATATAAACTGCTCAAGTATAAACCGAAATCGAATTGAACCGATAACTATTTAAACCGAACTGAAACCGACTCGTAAGACACTTAAACTGATTTCAAACCGAACCGAAATCGAACTTTCAAACCGTTTTAACAGTACTACACATGACACATAAATTGTTATAGGAACATGTGTTGAAGAAAAGTAATAATAACAAAAGAATAAAATAATATTGAATTTTTAAAAATATAACATGACCTTTTGGGTCACTTTTAAGAAACTACAAATACAAAAACCAATTAAAAAATTAGAAAAAGTATATATATATTTTTTTTCGTAATTTTATCTCTCTATCATATCTATTGATTTTGTTTAAGAACCTAACAAAATTTAGAAATTCGAAAAAGTGGTTGATAATACAGAATTTTTTATTTATAAAAAAACACAAATTAAAAGTTGCTGGTGAAGAAAAACATAAAAGTAGCGCACAAGTAAAAAGAAAAGCGTAAGTATAATTAAATTGTAATTTTCGTACAATTTAAATACGTTTTACAAACTTTTGAATATAATAATTGGAGAATAGTTAGTGGTGGGATGTGTCACATGGATTGTAATGTTGTATGTGGTGGTTAAAATAAATTTTTCATTAGGTGACATGACAATTATTCATGGTTACTAATGTGAAATTTTGATGGTGTAACAGCTCGAGCTAAGTTTCATATCCAAGGCGCACTTGAATACCTATAACTAAATATCAACTTTTAACGGTTTAGTTATGGATATAAGAAAATAGTTTTGTAAGTTACTTTAAAAAAGCTTAAAACTCTACACGTTGCTTCAATAATCTCATGGTTTATATTCAACTAGTTTTTATATGCATACAATACGTGCGTCAAACAATGCAATAATTAATGATAAAGATAATTCGAATAAATTAAAATATCAAAAAATTGTAGAAAAAATACAATTTAAAATATACAAATACAACTTTATGAAGTTCAACAAATATAAAGATTTAAATGCAAATTCTAACCTACAATAAAATACTATACATATAAATTTATGAGATAAAATTATATTGAAATTCAACTAAACAACAACTCAACATAAAATTAATCATAATCAACCATCTATAACTCCACTATAAATTTACGCAAATAAATCCAAGTATTATTCGAAAACATTAACCAACAATTGCCCTCATATTAAAAAACAATCCGCAAATTCAAAAGGGTACTATAAAAAATAATCAAAAAATTAAAATTGAATCACATATTAACCTATGAATCACCTAACCGAATGTATCGGTAATAAAATCGAATCCATCACCAATGCGCAAACCAAGGGAAAAGAGAGTGATTGAGGGAGAGCATGAAGCAAATCAGAAGGAGGGGTCGAGCAACAAGTGAAAGCAAGATCATAGAAAGATGATCTTTGAAAATTTGCAAATGATTGGAGAAGAAGCTGACCCCAAGTACCCTGTTCCTTCTCCTATCAATATTCTCTTCTTATTCATATTCGATGAATAGGTTGGTTTTCTGAACGGTGGACCATACGAAAAAAAGGAAGCAAGGTTGACACTAATCTGATAATGATGGCGGGGATGGTTGATGCTGTTTGTCGGCGATCAAAAAGTTGTTTTTTTCCGATTAACGTGATTAATATTGATAAAAATATTACAGAATTTTAGAGTAAAAGAAAGTTTGTTAGTGTGTGTTTTTACATCAAACAAATGAGTGAAATAAATGAATTTATAAATGATTTTAGAGGAACGGATTTGATTAGGTGAATTATTGATTAAATGAGTAGATTGATTAATGAAGGGAATTGAATAATGTTATCGTAATTAGGAAATTTGTGATTTGATTGAAATATGAAATTGATTTTAAAAATTAAATTATCAATTGAGGAAAGGAACGAAATTATATAATTCATGAAGTTATTTGATGTAATAGAAATTGATGGACTAGATCGTGGCATTGATTGAGTCAATTCTAGACATTTGATTGATAATTAATGATGTGATTGCTTTTTATTTCATTTTATTTTTTTTGAATAGTAAAAAATTCATTAATAGATAGGGGTACTGATGTAATTTTTAAGAGATACTAAAATCTCCTCTCTTGGCTTTTTTTTATTTATTTTTTTTATTTTTTTAAGGTGATTTGGGTAAAAATACCCATGTCACGTGGCCCAATCAAAATGGGACACGTTCACCCCATGACAGGTCCAATAAAGGCCGTTCACCAGTTAACACGTGGCACTCCACATCAACAAGGGAAAAAGACAACCTTTAGGGCCCAATTCCCTAGACTGCCAAAAAGCGGCGTAGCCCATCAGTCCTAGCTTTTTGTAACCTAGAACGAGGGGACAAATCCCCATGACCCTATAAATAGGGAGATCTACCCCCCTTAGGGCACACACTGAATGATTGTTGATTCAATCATTAGAAAACAATCAATTCCCTCACATCATAGAAAAACACTCGACCTCGGAATCCGAGAAGATCCCACTTCACATTCCGCACTTTTTTACATTCTCAGACACGTTCTAACTTGATCGTCGGAGGCGAAACTCCACCCAACCGGAGTCTACGTTGTTTTGTAAGTATAGGCGCCCGGAGGCCAATCTTGGTGACGTAAATCTCCCGAGGGACAAAAACTCTCGAAACATTTGGCGCCGTCTGTGGGGAGATTACCTCTAAGATGGCTTCATCACAACAGTCTGTACTACATCCTAATGAGAAACGGCCTACGACCGAAGCTGAGGTCTATTCGAACCATGTCAGTGATGACGACTTTGAAGTTGAAACGTATGTGGCCGCTGATGGGTCACTCAGAACCAGACGCACTTGTCCCAAGGAAAGGGGCGATGATTAAGCTGGTCCAAATAAGTCTTCCGGACAACCGTCGGGACACACCAGGCGGCAGAAGGCACAACCCTAGTCACTCGAGACGAACTCATGAAATTCATGACAAGTTTCAAGGGGGATATAAAGGACCGATCAATAAGAGGACGGTTGGCTCCAACAGGGGTCAGTCGGCCAAGAAGCCTTCTCTCTCTCTGAGAAGAACAAGCCAGTCAGGGACCGAGAGCCCACTCCGCATCCTAAATCAAAGGAGGGAAAGCGACCCTTGAATTACTTATCAAGATCCGATTCCTCGAGACAGGGAAGAGGAAGGCCATTCCGCATGTCCAGCCGGATGGCTCAAAGAAGACATACTATGATGCCCGGTCCCTAATCGAGCAGAAGAGAAACCAACAACTGTCTGAGTCGGCTTCAACTTCGAGTTACCCAAACAGCTTTCAAAATACCTCAATGAGGTTTTCTCGATCTGTACGAGAGTGTCAGTCAGGCGGCCTATCTGTCCACACTGGCCCTCAGATAATCCATTCGGCCCCGTATGTACCTCAGTAGCCATACATGCCGTATGGACAACCTTACATGCAACCGACCCTCTTTGGGGGTCAAGCGGCACAAAACGTCCAACCTTTGGACTGGCAGCTCCGTCTGCTAAATATTGGGGAACAACCTTCTACATTCTCAAAGGGAAATAATCGAGGCGGCACAGCCGGCCAAGGTTAAAAATGTTTTGGTGGGTACTTATGATGGTACCACCAACCCTAAAGACCACCTCATGGCCTACACCAACCTCATGTACTTGCAGGGGTTGGATGACGTCACCTGGTACCGATGCTTCCCGACTACATTGAAGGGCATCGCCCAACAATGGTTCGGCAATCTGCCGGCCGACTGCATCAATAGTTTCAAGACTCTTGCGTTCTTGTTTGCCTCTAACTTCTCTATGAATATCCCTGCAAGGAAAATAAGTCTCGACTTGGGTGTAGTGTAGTAAGGGGATAGAGAAGGGTTGCGGTCATACGTCAGGCAGTTCAATCTGGTGAGAATCCAGATTCAAGGGTTGTCTGACGATGTGGCTTATACAGACTTCTTCAAAGGTTTGAAGGACGGGTCGACTTTTAAGTTCGACCTCGTTAGGAAGAGGGTTGCACTGCACCCAGGAAGCGCTGATGGAGGCGGAAGCCTATATACAGGCGACCGAGCTTTGCTCCACTCAACAAGCAGTTGGACTTTAAGAAGCCTGAAAAAAAAAGAGAGTCGGCAAGCTCAGCCGGCTAAAAAAGCCGAAGAGAGTAAGAAGAGAAAAGAGATTTGGGCGGTTGACGACTCTAAACAGCCGTACGTCCTGAAGAACGAGTTTAACAAAGACTGTTACTCCATCCTCATGGAGATAAAGGATCGGGTGACCATAAAAAAGCCCGCTGCTATGAAAGGTTCTGTCAAAAGCCGGAACAAAAACAAGTACTGCCATTTCCATGAGAATATTGGCCACGACACCAACGACTACTATAGTCTCAAGCGGATGTTGGACCGTTTGTCCGATAAGGAGGTGTTGAAGTCTTACATTCTTATGTCCAAGGTGACCCTAAAGACAAACCCTGGGCAGTCTTCCAAAAAGAATGCCTAACCTGCTAGTAGTTCGGACACTAACCAAGAGCCGATCTACACAATAGCAGGCGGCTTTGCTGGAGGGGGCCCAACCATCAGTTGTACCAAGGACCATGTCAGGCGGCTGGATGTCAGTTCAATTGATGAGGGCCGGATGTCTACTGACACCTTTCCTGAGGCCATCATCACTGAAAAGGACAGGGGCAAGGTTCGCCGACCGTATGATGACCCCATTGTCATTGAGTGCAAAGTGGCCAACCAGAAGGTCGGCTGGATCCTCATTGACACCAGAAGCTCGTCTGACCTTATCAGCTACAAGTGCTTGTCAAAGCTGAAGTACAAGCCAGGTAGCATGCACAAGGTGTCTTGGCCCCTGGTTGGTTTTGGGGGTGGAGTTGTGCACCTAGTCGGTCGGATTGACCTACATACCCATCCGGCTGGGGGAGAAAGAAGAAGGACGCCACATGGTAGTCCGGTTCTTGGTTGTGGAAGAGTTGACTGCCTATAATCTGATATTGGGCCGTCCAACTCTGAATGAATCCAAGGCCGACATTATTCCATCCTTCATGCTGCTGGAATTTGAGAAAGATGATGGGTTTGTTGGCTCCTTGAACGGAGATTAGAAGCAACTAGAGAGTTCTACCTCTCAGACGTCAAGCCCACGGTGGCCACAACCGGCCATGGTGAGGAATCAGTAGACCTTGACGATGTCAAGGAAGCCGAGCTTGCTCCAACAGCAGCCGATAAGAAGAGAAAGGCCGACCAGTTGGAGGCCGTGAGAAAAGAGAAGCAATAGCAATCACTGATCCGGGGACGGTCAAATGAACTTTGTCCCCAGCCGGCTGGTGAACATGTTGATATTGCTCTGGACGATAGCCGTCCGGAGCGTACTGTTAAGGTTAAGACGGCTGCTTTTGCGAAGCTTGGTGCAAACTTCCACAATCTGTTGAAGGAATTCAAGGATATCTTTGCCTTTGAAGTGGAAGAGATGCCAGGCATCAGCCCGGATCTAGCTGTCTACAAGCTCACCGTGGATCTTAAAAAGAAGCCGGTTAGGAAAAAGAAAAGAAACCACGGCGAGGTGGGAAGTCAGGCGGCAGCCGCCGAAGTCAAAAAGCTATTTGACGTCGCGTTCATTGGGCAGTATCACTTCCCATATCGGGTTGCGAATGTTGTCCTTGTTAAAAAGCTGAATGGTACCTGGCGGATGTGTGTTGATTACACAGATCTAAACAAGGCATGTCCGAAGGAGCTATCCACTCCCAAAGATCGACAGTCTGGTTGACTCTACAGTCGGTCATGCCTTGATGAGCTTCATGGACGCCTACTCAAGCTTCCATCAGATACCCTTGTGGAAAAAAGATCAAGAGAAGACGACATTCGTCACTGATCAAGGGTTATTCTGTTATACGGTGATGCCGTTTGGGCTAAATTTGCGCCTGCTACTTTCCAACGAATGATTAATACAATCTTCATTAATCAAATTAGGAGGAATATTGAGGCGTACATTGATGACATGATAGTCAAATCTAAGCTACACACGAATCACCTTGCTGACCTCCGAGAAACATTCACCACCCTCAGGCGGCACAAGGTCATGATTAATACTAAGAAGTGTGTCTTTGGTGTTGAGTCTGGGAGGTTTCTCGGATTTTTAATTGATCAAACGGGGTTAGAGGCCAACCCAGAGAAGATATAGGCGGTCATTGACATGAAGTCTCCCCGCACTGTCAAGGAAGTTCAGAAATTAACAGGTTGTCTGGCGGCATTGGGGAGATTCCTCAGCCGGTTAGGTGACAAGTGCCTCTATTTTTTCCAAGCTATTAAAAAGAAGACTAGGTTTTAATGGGGGGATGATGCTGAGGCGGCCTTTCAGAAATTGAAAGAACACTTTCACTCTTTTCCAAGGCTTGTTAGCCCTCTGCCAAAGGAGGCGCTTTACATGTATTTAGCCGCCTCAGACATGCTCTCAGTGATGTTCTCCTTGCTGAGAGAGACGGCACCCAGCTCCATGTCTATTTTATAAGCTATGTTCTTCGAAATGCTGAACTACAGTACCAATGGTTGAAAAATTTGGCCTGGCTCTTTTCATGGCAGTCAAGAAGTTGAAGCCTTACTTCTTGGCACATCCGGTTGTGATCTACATAGACCAACCCCTCAAGCGGACAATGACAACCTTGAAGTCATTCGGTAGGATGCTCAAATGGGCTATTAAAATGCAAAGTCTTGAAATCTCTTTCAAACCAAGGAAGGAAGTGAAGGGTCAGGCGTTTGCCGACTTCATTGTCAAAATGACAAGACCGGTTAAGCTAGAGAATCTTGACCAGGTTTAGAAAGTGTATGCAGACGGGACCTCTAATATAAACGGCTGTGGTGCAGGGGTTATATGTCAGTCCCCTGAAGGGGACAAGTATGAATATTCACTACGTTTCAAGTTTCAAGTCTCAAATAACGAGGCGGAATATGAAGCCCAGCTAGCCGGTATCCGCATGTGCAAGGCGGCAGGGGCAAGAAAAATTGATGCCTGCTCTGATTCACAATTAGTCGTTAGCCAGTACCATGGTGAATATAAGGCCACCCATCTTGCCATGATAAAATATTTGAAGGCGGTCAAAGAAGAGGTTGGGACACTTGATGAATTTCATATAAGTCAGGTGCTTAGGTCAGAGAAAAGTTAAGCGAATGTTTTTTCTAAGCTGGCATCATCCGCCTCTTGTGATATGATGAGTGACATTTATATCACTCTTAGAGGTAATGTTTAGGTCTCTTTCCTCCTATTTTTCTTAGGTTTTTCTACCTCATTTCTCCTCTTATGGCTTCTTTATTTGTTGATGAAAAGTATGCTTATTTGCGCTTGTTTTGATAATCTTTATGCATTATTTTATCATCCCCATGCTCTCGTGATCTTTTTTATCTTTTGCAGGTTCCATGGCAGTCCTAAGCACGGTGGGAGGCCCTTGGCCAAGTATGGAGGCATGGACAAAGACAAGAGGAGCAAAAGGGAAGGAGAGGAAGCAAGAAGAGGAAGTGCAAGAGGAGGTGTGGCCGAACCTCTGAAATGTTCGGTGGAACCAAGGTGTGGTCAAACTTTTGAAAAGTTTGACCGAACCTCCATAGTGCAAAGGAGGCAGTTTCAAATCAGTTTTCAGCAATTTTGCAGGAGGGGTCGAACCTCAAAAGTTCGACCAAACAAGGATCAGGGAGGTTTGACCGAACCTACTCAGAGTTCGACCGAACCTACCCTGAGTCTAACCGAACCTACCCAGAGTTCGGTCGGACCTTTTCCCAATCTCAGCCGACTTTATACGGACTATTTAAGTTCCTTTTTAGATCATTTTGGGGACAAATATTAGCGGAAGAGAATAATTTTTAGAAAGAAAAACTTCCTCTTAGTTAGCACCTTAGTTCATTAAATTAGTTGATGATTTAGTTTGGAAACTCTCAAGTCTAATCATTGTAGAAGCAAACTTCAAGGTTCATTTTCAGATTTTTAGCATTTATTCAACATTTTGAAGCTTCAATAGTAACTTCTTTCACTTGTCTCTACTTATTTTCTGATTTTATTTTGTTATTGCAAGTCAATTGAATCTCTCTTAATCTTGATAAATTGTTGTTGCATGTTAGTTTATCCATAGTGAATCACTTTTCCCCAATTTTAGAATTACTTAGAATCCCAACTTTGAACTTTTCATGTTACTCACAATGAATTGTGAGTAGTCCTCTTGGCTAGGGGTTGGGTGAAAATCAACCTAATGGTTAATTAAGTAAACTTGGGAGAAGTATTGATGTTTGATTTGTGATTAAATTGATTGTATGAGATTGCTTGTTAGTTCTTCATGATAGGAGTAGCAACCCTAGAATTTGGAGCTTGATGGCATGTTATGCTTAGTTTGACATGGAAATGTAGATTAAGTATGTCACTACTTATTTCAATTTGATTATGTGTCTCCTATTTCTAAACTAATGAGGGATCTAAGTTGAGGAGTGTGAGTTATTTTTCTAATTGCATGAGGTTGGCCTTACATATAGTCCTTGCTATCTCTTTTCTCCATTTTCTCCCACTATGCTTGATTACCATGGTTGAGTGGATCCCATTCCCTAGTACTTTTAATTATTCGACTTAGAAAAAAAAATAGTTTGTTTGTCTACTTGACAAACCCCCAATCAACAAAAGTCTTCGAATTAGCTTGCGTATTAAGATCTTTAGCAATTATATCCCGTTCCATGTGGACCGAACTCTTACTTATCATTGTGCTTGGTTTGTGAGATGTTTGCTTATAAATGTGTTTGAATGAGTGTGGAATGTGCGACCGTTTTAACACCCATCAAAATGGCGCCGTTGCCGGGAAACGGTGTTGTTGATTGCTATCTGATTGCTTGAGTCTAGTTCACTAAAAAAAAAACACAAAAAGAGTTTTCTTTTCGACTACACTTGTAGCCTTGCTACTAATTGCACTTGTTAAGTGTGTATGCGCAGAACCCATAACAGGATTTTGGTGCCTTACGATCCCGAGATGAACAAACTTTTAGAAGAAGAAGGGGAAGGAGATCCGGTTCTAGGCCGTTAACTACTTCCCCAACTACAGAGTTCAACTTCGAGGAACAACAAGACCAAATGGGGTGATCCACAGCCACCACCTCAAAGACCTTTGAAGGAGTTGGGAACTTCGGGAGCTTATAGAGCTTCGAGTGGGATTGTTCTCCCAAACACCCCGGCCAACGATTTTGAGATTCGGCCTGCAATGATAATTTTTATTGAGAGGAGACAATTTAGTGAAGCAAAACATGAGAGCCCTCTTGCACATTTGAACGAGTTTGAGAAATATTGCAACACGATCAAGGTGAATGGGGTCACTCAGGAATTTGTGAGACTTAAGCTATTTCCTTTCTCCTTAATAGGAAGGGCTCTTGAATGGCTTGAAAAGGAGGTGAGACCCAATTCCTTAAGAACTTGGGATGAGGTCACAACGACTTTCTTAGGGAGATTTTACTCTCAAAAGAAAACCGCCGAAGCAAGGGCGTTGATCCAAGGTTTTCGGCAAAGGGCTAGTGAGACTATCTATGAAGCTTGGGAGAGATACAATGAGTACCAAAGAGAGTGCCCTCACCATGGAATCCCAACATACCAAGTTTTACAAATCTTCTATGGAGGCTTGAGTCCTCAAGGCAAAACAAGCTTGGATGCGGGAGCGGGTGGGCCAATCATGAATAAAACCGAAAAGCAAGTGATTGAGATCATTAAAGATGTGGTAAGACACCACATGGATTGGCAAGAAGGAGAGAAGGAGTCTTCGAGAAAAGGAGGGAGTGCGGTTTACTCCGTTGATCACCTCAACGCCATCAATAATTTGACGTCTCAAATCGCCAACCTTGGCAAGGAGATGACATCAATCAAGGCGAAGCTTGAGTCCTCCTCTTCACACCAAGAGCGTCCCTCCCAATCTAAGGGGAGAGGTATGAGTTCTAACCCTTCTACTTCTACATCTAATAACATGCCGAATGGGTCTTTATTTTGTGAAAATTGTGGATCATATGATCATGACACCTCTTCTTGCACTTATGATTCTCAACCCCAACCCCAATATGAGGATGGTAATGAACTTGAAAATGAACATATCAATGCTTTGTCTTACGATAATAGACCTAGGAATAACAATCAAAGATATTTACCACCTAATCAAAGAGGGCAAGGGGGAAATTCCTTCAATCAAATTAAAGAGGAAATGATTATGATTACCACAACCAAAACCAATGGGGTGGTAGGAACCAAAGGGACCAAAATCCCTAAGGTAACTACAACTAACAAGGTGGTTATGGTAACCATAACCATAATAATCAAGGGAATTATGTGAATCAAGGTAAATATCACCAAGGAGGGAATTCTAGTAATAGGAACAATTGGAATAATAATGGTAATAGAGGCTTTTCCAATCAAAATGCTCAAAATTCTAATGTGAGAGGTTCTAGAGCGCAACAAGACAATTTTTACACTCACGCACCTCCACAAAAGTCTAGCCTAGAAGAGATGATGGAAAGCCAAGCCAAAATGTTTAATACCTTCATGGCCACTACTGATAAGAAGTTCAATGAGGTTATGACTCACAACAAAATCCTAGAAACCCAAATCTCCCAATTAGCTAATGCCATTAAAGAGGGAACTAGCATTTCTAAACTTCCACCCTAAGCGCTTGACCCCAAGAGACCGGTGAATGCCATTTCTACTAGGAGTGGGAAGTTGTTGAAGGAGAGTGAGCCAAAGAAAACCAATAAGAGAGTGACCATGATTGAGCCCTCCCTTGAGAGTGAGTTTGAGCAAGAAGATGAGAGAAGTTGTGAAAACAAAAAAGCTGATGAAGTTGAGAAAGAAGTTGGAGTTGAAAATGAAAGAGAGATCGAAAAAAAAAGAGTTCAAAAAGAGAAAAAGAAGGAACCAATACAATTGCAAAAACTTCCATATCCTCATAAGTTTGTGAGACACAAGCTAGATGTGAAATTTGGTAAGTTCCTAGAAACCTTGAAACAAGTCCACATCTCAATAACCTTTACTGATGCCATAAAACAAATTCCCAATTATGCTAGGTTTCTAAAGGATATTGTGAGTGGAAGAAGAAATTGTGATGATGTTGAAACGGTGAACCTCACCAAAAGTTGTAGTGCAATCATAATGAACAAGATACCTCCAAAGTTAGGAGATCCGGGTAACTTTTCCATTCATTGTGCCATAAATAGAATACCAATTGATAACGCTTTATGTGACTTAGGGGCTAGTGTTAGCCTTATGTCATATACGGTTTACCAAAGACTTGATATAGGGGAGCTTTTTCCTACCAACATTACCCTCCAATTAGCGGATAGATCAATCAAATTCCCTAAGGGTAAGGTAGAGGGATGTTCCTCTAAGGGTCGGAAAGTTTGTTATACTGGTTGATTTTGTTGTTCTTGACATGGATGAGGATGTACATATTCCTATCATTTTAGGGAGACCTTTTATAGCTACTTCCGGTGCTTTGATTAATGTGAAAATGCTAAAATTACACACAAAGTAGGTGAAGAGGTTCTTGAGTTTGATTTGAATGCAAGCATGAAATATCCTAGTTCTACTTTGGAGAAATGCATGAAATTTGACGCCATTGATTGTATTGTAAATTCTATGCAAGAGAACTTGCTCTCTACTAACAATGCCCGTGAGAATGTCTTGTTAAACAAAGGAAAGATAGGTTATCAAAGCAAGAAAATGGCGTTGTATGAAGAGTTGCTTGATGAAAATGTTGAAGGAAATGTTGAGCAAGCTTACATGGGAATCACAACCAAAACATGCTATGGAGATTGCCACTATAAAGGAAGGTAAGGGTGTGCCTATGGTAGAGCTAAAACCTCTACCATCACACCTTAGGTATGAATTCCTTGGACCCAATTCCACATTTCCCGTTATTGTGAATGCATCTTTGAATGAACACTAAACTCGAAAGTTATGTGGTGTATTAAGAAACCACCAAAATGCCTTAGGCTATACCCTTGATAATCTCAAGGGTACTAGTCCCGTTATTTTCATGCATCACATAACATTGGAGGAGGGTGCAAAGCCATCCATAGAGAGGCAAAGAAAACTCAACCCTCATATGGGGGAGGTGGTGAAGAAGGAAATCACCAAGCTCCTAAATGCCGGCATCATCTTCCCTATTTCGAGCTCAAGGTGGGTTTCCCCCGTGCATGTTGTTCCTAAGAAAGGGGGTATGACCGTAGTTGAGAACTAGGACGGTGACTGATTGGCGGATGTGTATATACTATAGACGTCTAAATGCATCTACCAAAAAGGATCATTTCCCCCTCCCCTTTATAGATCAAATGCTTGAAAGACTAACTAAACACAAGTATTATTGTTTTCTCGACGGTTATTCGGGTTTCTGCCAAATTCCAATAAACCCGGATGACCAAGAGAAAACAACCTTTACTTGTCCTTATGGAACTTTTGCTTACAGGAGAATGCCATTTGGTCTATGTAATGCACCTGGAACATTTTAAAGATGCATGATGAGCATATTTGGTGACATGCTTGAAGAGGAAATGGAGGTATTCATGGATGACTTTTCGGTTGGTGGCTGATATACGTGTTTTATACAATGGTTTTCCCCGGTTTGATTGCATGATTTTACATGGTTTTGAGCTCTACGGAGCTATTTCTTGCTAACAATCTCTTCTTTAGTGTATTCGATTGTTTTAGTAAGCTTTTCAGGAATATGAAGCGTTTCTAGGCAATTGGACGTGTTTTTAGTAGATTCGGAAGAGTTGATAGCCAAGAACTGCAATTTATGTGGAATGCCCGACCGGGCATGGCTTGCCCGGGCAGACCGGGCAATGAGGAGTTCACAGGAAGAAGCCCAATTCTGAACGGTGCAACGCGCGCCCGATCGGGCAGGCTTCGCCCGGTCAGACCGGGCGATGAAGAAATCAAGTTATGAGATGCAATTTTGGAAACGTGTTACGCGCGCCCGACCGGGCGAGGTTCGCCCGGTCAGACCGGGCAAAGAAGGAAAACTGTCGTATTTTACGCAGCCTTCCTCCGCCCGATCGGGCGAGGTCCGCCCGGTCAGACCGGGCAAAGCTCAAGAACGCGTATTTTCTTATTTTTCCGAAATATTATCTTTTGGGGGTATAAATACCCTTTTGTAATTAACTTTTAGACAGTAAGTTTTTCATTAGTTTTCTCCTTAAGCCCTAGAAAACTCTCAAGAACCCTAGTTTTATTTTTCTTAAGCAATTTCAATCTTTAATCCTAGTTTTATTAATTGTTCTTCAAGAATTCAAGATCATCAATTGAAGTATTTGGTATTTCTTACTTTCCATCTCTTTTATTTATTTTATAGTTCTTTAATTATGTGTTCTCTATTAGATCTTGTTTTTGATTTAATTATGATTTGTGAGTAGTTTCCTTAATCCGGGATCTTGCTAAGCCCGATTATGATTGATGTATAAAGTAGATCTTTAAATTCCCCAATAATAATCCCAATTGACATGCTTAATTGATTGTGTTTATGCCAATACTAGATTAGGGATAATTAGTATTGTTATCATCCCTTTGTTCTTATTGCAACGGAAGTTGGGTATTAACGGGATTAGGTTATTTCAATTAAGGGTTTGAAGATCATCACGGAAGTAGATGATTGAATAATTAGGAATCTAGGCATGGTGTTTAATGTCCCTTATTCGCTTGATTCCACGGAAGTAGGCTTGATAGTTAATTTGGGAAGCCATTGATAACTCGGAAGAGACCTTTGGTATTATTATTAGGGATTGCTTTTCTTCTTGTCAATTGATTTATATATTGGGGGTAGATTTATTAGTTTATCAATCATAATCGTGGTGATGCTTGATCTTGGATGCTTTAGTTTATTGATTAATATTTCCTCTAGTTAATTGTGTTATTTAATATATTAGTTGATTATTATCATCCATTATTGATTGGTGACGTGCTTAGTGATTAATTGAGTCTGATTAATTGAATGAACCATAGTCTCTTGGGATTCGATCCTTACTTGCCCTACTACACAGTTAGAAGGAATAGTTAGGTTATTTTTGTTAGGTACGCGATAAGCCTATCAAATTTTGGCGCCGTTGCCGGGGAATAACGGTTTTCATCTAATTATTTGTGATTCGTTTTTGCTAAGATTTTGGTTTGTTGCTTTGGCTATTATTAACTTCTTTTTCTCTTATGAGTTGATGATATACATGCCTTGGAGATGGATGATTTATTGTCACGTCTTGCATCTGGCCATTGTTCTTGTTATTATCTTTATCATGAAAACCCTGATTGCCCTTATAGTGAGTATTTTGTTCGAGCTCCGGATGATTTTAGAATCTTTCCATTCGTATATGATTATTCTGAAAAACAGTTTGTTCTAAATGAAATTTATTGGAGGATTCATGATGAATATTATCATAATTTGTATAATACGTCGGAGGAAGAATCATTTGTTGAAAAACCGATGGTTAAAGAGTCATTGGTTATAGAATCAGTGGTTGAGGTATCATTGGTTCCAATAGAAGAAGAATCATTAGTTGTAGAACCATTGGTTGAAAAGTCATTGGTTGTAGAACCAATGGTTGAAAATTCTTTTTCCTTTGGTAATGAACTTATTCGTGAGCGTAAAATAATAGAGTCGTTATTGGGTGATGATACAGAACAAGACTACCTCCATGTTCGTTCTATTAATTCTAAATTTTTAGCGGAGGAAGCAGAAGGTTGTGGTGTATCTTCATTTTTTTCTTTTGATTTTTCTTTTTACCTTGAGTTTTCTTTGTGTGCTCCTAATCTTTTCTATGTAAGGATTACTGTGCTTGCAATTGAGCCCTATATAGTGCTTAATGAAATGTTTGCAGGAGCGTATGATAAGTTACTCAAGGCGTTAAGTTCTTCTGATGGAAGGAGAATGGTCAAGCTTAAGACCTTGATAAACTAGCGCTTTACGGGAGGCAACCCGTATTTCATTATTTTTATTTTAGTCTTTTCTAATTTTTGTGTTTTCGTTTGTTTTATTTTAGAGAGGTAAGGAGAGGATATTTTATTCTTGTGGGAGTTTCTATATGTGTAGGTTTTGATCTAGAAAGGTTTCGATTTTAAAGGAGAAGAAAGCTGGATTGTACTCGGGTTCGCTCGGGCAGAGCTCGCCCGATCGGGCGCGCGTACGGATCAGCAAAACTGCTCAAGTTCAACAGGCCGTAACTTTTACGTTTCTTATCGGATTTTTGCGTGTGACCTATCGTTGGAAAGCTCTTCAAGTCTACTTTCCAACACAATTAGAATCACTGCATTATAATTTATACAAAAAAAAGTTATGATCAGAATAGTACGCATAACTCAATTTTTATATTTTTCCCACTAACACTTTGTTTCATTCTTGCCCAAATTTGTTCCAAAGAGATGCATTGAAATCCTCGAGGCTTTGGTGACATTGTTGTGGTGATGATGATAAGTAGTAGTCGCCTTGACTACTAGCTTCCCTTTAAGACAATGAGGACATTGTCTGATTTTGGCTTGGGGGAGATTTTTGGATTAAGGTATCTTTCTTTTCTCTCTCTTTTTGTTTTTTGACGTATTCAGTTTAGTTTTATTTCTTTCATAGTCTAGATTTTATTGCTTTCTAGGTTAGATTTTATTGCTTTGAAAAAGAAAAAAAACATACAAAAAAATACGATCCAATGAATAATAAATCATGCTTCCCTGTGCCCCATTCATGAAAATTGTTTTAATTCTTGGTATATGATGACGAGTATTGTGGATAGGTTAGCCATGATTTGATGTTTGATTGCTTGGATGTCTTAACATGAGTCAATTTTGCCCAACTACTTGTGAATATAGTGCTTGACTAGTTGATTTGGTTAGGAATGTGTGTTAGTTCCTGGTATGTCAATGAAGTTGAGTATTGGTTTATAACTTTGAGTAATGTTTGCATGACTCATTAATATGCACATTGAGGAGGACGAAGGCATTTGTTCCTCTAGGTGGCCTTCAGACGATATTAGATACATTTGTTCCCTTCTTGCTACCCATGTTGTTGCTTGTGCCCTTTTATTGTTTATTTTGCCACATTACAAGCCTATTTAAGCCCCATTGGTTACTAGTCCCAAGCTTAGCTTGGGGGAGCTAATAGTGAGTGAGGCGAGGGAGTTGTAGTGTGCATGTAATTTGCACAATTTTGGGTGGATTTGAGAAGTTTCTTATTTGTTCTTATTGTTGTGGATTGAAAAAAAGAAAAAAAAATTGAAAATTTATTGTGCAAAGAAAAAAAAAAAAAAATTCCAATGTGAGAGAAAAGAAAAAGAAAGAGCAAAGGAAAAAAAAATTGTTTCAATGTTCAAGTGTTCTAATTGAAGGCTGCTCAAGAAAAAAAAAGAGAGTTCAAAGTTTGTTTGTTTACTCAAGTTCTATAATTTTATATTTTGTATATATGAGTGAAATTTTAAGTGTTGGAAATTTTTAATATAATTGGGATGTTTGGTGAATTTTTGGTAGAGCTGAGTTGTGTTGGAGATGATTTGGTCATTAATTTGTTTTGACCTTGGTTTTATTTATTAGGATTTTGGCTCCCTTAAGCATAGCTTTACTCTTACATTTTCCCAAATATTTCCCACCTTTTACCCTAGCCTTACATTACAAGCTTTGAAGACCTTCTGACCTTTGTGCATAGAGTTGTGTGAATGTGAAATTAGTTGTTTTCCAATGCAAAGAATGATTTGATATATTTCGAGTCGACTGCTAGGTTGAGTGCTTGTTTTCTTAAAACACACGAGTGCGTGAGCTTGGGAGGGCATTGTTCACATTTAAAGGAGTTGGATGGAGAGCGACCGAGTATATCTTTTACTCGCCACATAAATGAGAGTTGAGTGTGTGAACACTAGTCTTGAATTCTATATGCTCTTGTGGTTTGCTCTATTTGACCATTGTCAGACAGGATGAGTAGTTAGATGGATTTGATTGGTTGACTTTGATGCATAACTGTCGAGTTTACCTTTAATCGTATTTATTGATTTGAGTTACTTTTGGGGTGAAGTATTGATTTATTTATTCATTGCTTTGCTTAGGGACAAGCAAAGGTTTAGCTTGGGGGAATTTGATATACGTGTTTTATACAATGGTTTTCCCCGGTTTGATTGCATGATTTTACATGGTTTTGAGCTCTACGGAGCTATTTCTTGCTAACAATCTCTTCTTTAGTGTATTCGATTGTTTTAGTAAGCTTTTCAGGAATATGAAGCGTTTCTAGGCAATTGGACGTGTTTTTAGTAGATTCGGAAGAGTTGATAGCCAAGAACTGCAATTTATGTGGAATGCCCGACCGGGCATGGCTTGCCCGGGCAGACCGGGCAATGAGGAGTTCACAGGAAGAAGCCCAATTCTGAACGGTGCAACGCGCGCCCGATCGGGCAGGCTTCGCCCGGTCAGACCGGGCGATGAAGAAATCAAGTTATGAGATGCAATTTTGGAAACGTGTTACGCGCGCCCGACCGGGCGAGGTTCGCCCGGTCAGACCGGGCAAAGAAGGAAAACTGTCGTATTTTACGCAGCCTTCCTCCGCCCGATCGGGCGAGGTCCGCCCGGTCAGACCGGGCAAAGCTCAAGAACGCGTATTTTCTTATTTTTCCGAAATATTATCTTTTGGGGGTATAAATACCCTTTTGTAATTAACTTTTAGACAGTAAGTTTTTCATTAGTTTTCTCCTTAAGCCCTAGAAAACTCTCAAGAACCCTAGTTTTATTTTTCTTAAGCAATTTCAATCTTTAATCCTAGTTTTATTAATTGTTCTTCAAGAATTCAAGATCATCAATTGAAGTATTTGGTATTTCTTACTTTCCATCTCTTTTATTTATTTTATAGTTCTTTAATTATGTGTTCTCTATTAGATCTTGTTTTTGATTTAATTATGATTTGTGAGTAGTTTCCTTAATCCGGGATCTTGCTAAGCCCGATTATGATTGATGTATAAAGTAGATCTTTAAATTCCCCAATAATAATCCCAATTGACATGCTTAATTGATTGTGTTTATGCCAATACTAGATTAGGGATAATTAGTATTGTTATCATCCCTTTGTTCTTATTGCAACGGAAGTTGGGTATTAACGGGATTAGGTTATTTCAATTAAGGGTTTGAAGATCATCACGGAAGTAGATGATTGAATAATTAGGAATCTAGGCATGGTGTTTAATGTCCCTTATTCGCTTGATTCCACGGAAGTAGGCTTGATAGTTAATTTGGGAAGCCATTGATAACTCGGAAGAGACCTTTGGTATTATTATTAGGGATTGCTTTTCTTCTTGTCAATTGATTTATATATTGGGGGTAGATTTATTAGTTTATCAATCATAATCGTGGTGATGCTTGATCTTGGATGCTTTAGTTTATTGATTAATATTTCCTCTAGTTAATTGTGTTATTTAATATATTAGTTGATTATTATCATCCATTATTGATTGGTGACGTGCTTAGTGATTAATTGAGTCTGATTAATTGAATGAACCATAGTCTCTTGGGATTCGATCCTTACTTGCCCTACTACACAGTTAGAAGGAATAGTTAGGTTATTTTTGTTAGGTACGCGATAAGCCTATCAGTGGCCTTACATTTGAGGATTGCTTGACAAATTTGGGCAAGTGCTTGGCAAGATGCGAAAAAGTCAATTTGGTTTTGAATTGGGAGAAGTGCCACATTATGGTTGAGGAAGGAATTGTCCTTGGGCATAAGATCTCCAACAAAGGAATTGAGGTTGACAAAGCCAAGGTTGAAGTAATCGAGAAGCTACCACCCCCTATCAATGTGAAGGGAGTAAGATCATTTCTTGGGCATGCGAGGTTTTATAGAAGGTTTTTCAAAGACTTCTCACTAATTTTTAGGCCCCTTAATGCTCTTCTTCATAAGGAGGATGATTTTGTGTTTAATGAAGAGTGCCTCAATGCTTTCAACAAGTTAAAGCAAGCTTTGATTTCTACTCCTATTATGCAAGGTCCAAGATGGGATTTGCCCTTTGAACTTATGTGTGACGCGAGTGATGTGGCCATAGGGGGTGTGCTTGGGAAAAGGATTGACAAGAGACTTCATGTGATCTATTATATGTCAAAACTTTGAATGAAGCACAATGCGACTATAAAACAACGGAGAAGGAATTTTTGGCCGTAGTCTATGCTTTTGAGAAGTTTTGGAGCTATCTCATTGGTTCCAAAACTATTGTTTACACAGACCATGCGGCTATTAAGTATCTTATAGACAAGAAGGAATCCAAACCACGCCTCCTTTGTTGGGTGTTGTCTTTACAACAATTTGATCTCAAAATTCGGGATAAGAAGGGGGCAGAAAATGTTGTAGCGGATCACCTCTCCCGGTTGGAGAACTTGCAAGATAATGATGATGGGGACCCATTTTGTGATGAGCTAAAAGTTGATGTGCTTTACTTGTTAAGTGAAAATGATCTTCCATGGTTTGCAGATTTGGTGAACTATTTAGCTTATGGGGAGTTTCCTCCCGATGCTTCAAGGAACCAAAGGAAGAAGTTCAAGAGGGAAGCAAGGCACTACAACTGATTCTTGAGCTTGAGGTGTTTGATGTGTGGGGCATTGATTTCATGCGACCTTTTCCCTCATATAATGGGAACCAATATATACTTGTGGCGGTCAATTATGTTTAAAAGTGGGTGGAAGCAATTTCCTCCCCAACAAATGACTACAAAGTTGTGATGAAATTGTTCAAAAAGGTCATAGTTCCTAGATTTGGGGTCCCAAGAGCGGTTGTAAGTGACAATGGTTCTCATTTTGTCCATAATGTGTTTCAAAAGATATTGAGAAGGAATGGGGTCCATCAACGCTTCGGTACGACTTATCACCCACAAACAAGTGGGCAAGCGGAGGTTTCCAATCGCCAAATCAAGGTGATTCTTGAGAAAACAGTGGCTAGAAATAGGAAAGATTGGTCGGACAATCTAGATGATGCTCTTTGGGCCTACAGAACCGCTTTCAAAACCCCCATTTGCACTACCCCCTACCAGCTTGTATATGGTAAGTCTTGTCACCTTCCGGTTGAACTTGAACACCGTGCTCAATGGGCTATCAAAAAGATCATTTTTGTTTTGGCGAGAGCGGGTGAACAAAGGTGGCTAGATTTGTATGAGTTAGAGGAACTAAGGATGGATGCATATGATTGTGCAAGCTTGTACAAAACCCGGTCAAAGGAGTGGCTTGACCGGCAAATTGAAAAGAAGACCTTCAATGTTGGTGATAAGGTGTTGCTTTACAATTCAAGGATGAAATTATTTCCCGGTAAACTCATGTCTAGATGCAATGGACTTTTCACCATAAAAGAGGTCTTTCCCCATGGAGCCGTTGAACTCAATGGTTTGGACGGAACGAGGTCATTCAAGGTTAATGGGCATCGCCTCAAGCTCTACTACGAGGGCGCTCATGTTAGTTTGATTGAGTTGGTACAATATAATCTTACCTCCTAAGTGAGGAGATCGTCAAGCTATTGACGTTAAAGAAGCGCTTCCGGGGGGCAACCCAAGTTTCTAACCCTCCTCTATTCTATTTTCTTGATGTTTTTCATTCTTCTTTCTACAACTTTAGATTGATGGTTTTGTGTGTATTTGGTTTGTGTTGGTATTCTTATTTGTCTTGCCTTCAAAGGGAATGCATTTTCCATGTACTTTTGGCATGATTGTGTGGTATTTTAGTGTGTCTTGAGGAGAAGTTTTGTGCAAATTTTTCAGAATTGAGGATTTTGGGGGAGTTCGACCGAACTCCAAATAGGTTCGGCCGAACTTTTCAAAGGTTTGACCGAACCCACAAGGAGTTCGGCTGCTCCTGCCCTAGAACTGAAGTTGGCTTGCAATCTGACAGATTCTGGGAAATTCGGAAGTTCGACCGAACTTTTCAAAAGTTTGGTCAAACCTCTGCCGGTCCGACCGAACCTACCAAGAATTTGGCCGCTCCTGTTCTGGAAGTCAAATTAGGCTGCAATCTACCAGATTCTGGAAAATCCGGAAGTTCGACCGAACTTTTCAAAAGTTTGGTCGAACCTCTTATGGTCCGACCGAACTTCTTCATGGTTCGGCCGATCCTCTTTCGAGCAAGCTCCCAGAATAAAAAAAAAGGGGGAGGGTCGCAGCTTTCTCACTCCTCCTTCATACTTTCTGCTCTCTATCTCTCTCTCTTCTCTTCTCCTTCTCACTTTAAAACTCCATTGAAACCCCTCCTCTAACCTCAAATATCCATAAAAATCACTCCAATCTCTTCTCTTTCTCACTTCTTTTTCATCCACTACTCAATTCCTACAATCTCTTCAATTTTTCCCCAATTTCTAGAGTTTGAGTGACTTGATACTTTTGGTTTTCTACTTGCTTCCAATCAATTGTGGTATGGTTATTCTAGCTTTTGCAAGTTCATTTCTTCAATTTCTCTTAGTTTTACCATGTTTTACATGTTCAAGTATGAATTGTGGTATAATTGAAATTGTTAGTCATGGCTTGTTTGATCTATGTGATTCTTGGGATTTCCTTGTTGTAATTGGTTGGTTGTTGATAGTAGAACTTGTTTCATGATAAATATGCATGTATGCCTTGATTTTTCGTGATTTCACATTATTTGCTTGAATATGTTGATTTTTCACTAGGTTGTTCATGCTACATTTTGATTGAGAAATTCTTGAGTTGGATGTAATTTTGTGATTATTACATATTGTTCTTGGTATGGTTTTGATGAGTTTTGAATGATTTTCATGGATTTTAGGGGACATCATGCCCAAATTCACCTAGGTTTTCTTAGGATTTGCATTTGATTGCCATAGGACTTTTAGCTCATGCCTTGGTTTATAGGTGTCCATTAATGCCTTGAATTGTATTGTTGTTACCTCTTACATCTTCATTCATCAACTCTCTCTTTTTCTCCCCTTTTTTATTATTTATTTTTTATTTTTTTTATTTTTATCATTGTCCTTCCCTTTTGTAACTATGGAAGGCTTTTTCTAGGATTTACATTCGCTTTTATTGAACACATATTCCCAAAATCACTACTTTACTTTCCATTTAGAACCATTCCCTTCTAAATTTCAAATCAAAACTACAATAAGCTTTCATGGCTTGAGCTTCATGATTCTAAGGGTAAAAGTAAAACAAAAGGGCCATGGGCTTGTAATGTGCTATAATCAAGGAAAGGAAGACTTACCATGGTAAGGGAAAATGCAACCAAAAATACAAAAGATAATAAAAATAAAAGCTAATCCTAGAAAACAAAATAGTCACCGGATGAAGAATGCCTTTGTCGTTCATAGGTTAGTTCAGTCTCGATCTCGGGAGCTAGACGCCAAGTTCTAGATCTAAGCATGCCTTGGTGAGGATATTACGCCGCTCATACAAGTAATGTTGGAGGTTTAAACAATAAAGCTCACTTCGGGTTACAAAAACCACCTCTGGGGCTTCATATCTCCTAATGAGAGCTACACCTTCTTACCACAAACAAGTGAATTTGGGCTCAATGGGCCTTACAAGTTCTAGAACAACTACCTTAGCATGAACTGTCCTAGAGTCAACCAATGAAAAATCAACATATTCAAGCAAATAATGTGAAATCACGAAAAATCAAGGCATACATGCATATTCATCACGAAACAAGTTCTACTATCAATAACCAACCAATTACAACAAGGAAATCCCAAGAATCACATAGATCAAACAAGCCATGACTAACAATTTCAATTATACCACAATTCATACTTGAACATGTAAAACATGGTAAAACTAAGAGAAATTGAAGAAATGAACTAGCAAAAGCTAGAATAACCATACCACGATTGATTGGAAGCAAGTAGAAATCCAAAAGTATCAAGTCACTCAAACCCTAGAAATCGGGGAAAAATTGAAGAGATTGTAGGAATTGAGTAGTGGATGAAAAAGAGGTTAGAAAGAGAAGAGATTGGAGTGATTTTTATGGATATTTGAGGTTGGAGGAGGGGTTTCAATGGAGTTTTAAAGTGAGAAGGAGAAGAGAAGAGAAAGAGAGAGAGAGCAAAAAGTATGAAGGAGGAGTGAGAAAGTTGTGGCCCTCCCCTTTTTTTACTCTGGGAGCTTGCTCGAAAGAGGTTCGACCGAACCATGAAGAAGTTCGGTCGGACCATCAGAGGTTCGACCAAACTTATGAAAAGTTCGGTCGAACTTCCGGATTTTCCAGAATCTGGCAGATTGCAGCCCAAATTGACTTCCAGAACAGGAGCGGCCGAACTCTTGGTAGGTTCGGTCGGACCAGTAGAGGTTTGACCAAACTTTTGAAAAGTTCGGTCGAACTTCCAAATTTCCCAGAATCTGTCAGATTGCAACCCAACTTCATTTCTAGGGCAGGAGCAGCCGAACTCCTTGTGGGTTCGGTCAAACCTTTGAAAAGTTCGGCCGAACCTATTTGGAGTTTGGTCGAACTCCCCCAAAATCCTCAATTCTAAAAAATTTGCACAAAACTTCTCCTCAAAACACACTAAAATACCACACAATCATGCCAAAAGTACATGGAAAATGCATTCCCTTTAAAGGCAAGACAAACAAGAATACCAACACAAACCAAATACACACAAAACCATCAATCCAAAGTTGTAGAAAGAAGAATGAAAAACATCAAGAAAATAGAATAGAGGAGGGTTAGAAAATCGGGTTTCCCCTCGGAAGCGCTTCTTTAACGTCAATAGCTTGACGAGCTCCTCACTTAGGAGGTAAGATTATATTGTACCAACTCAATCAAACCAACATGAGCACCCTCAAAAAAAAAAAAAAAAAAAAAAAGAGTTGATGAATGAAGATGTAAGAGGAAAATGAAAGCTCAAACGTGTTTGGAAATGTAGTTTAAGTTTGTGGCAACGTAGTTTGAAAATTGGTAGATGATTGATTTTGAAAAAGAGGCTTGATCACCCTTAGAAAAAAAGCTTCATGATTAGGCTAAGCACCAATTTCCAAATTTTTCCACACCCTTACTGGTGTGCCTCAGTCGTATGCAACCAAAAATATCACAACTAAGCTAACTGCAAATAAACGTAGTTAGGGAAGTCGAGTTCGAATCCACAGGGAAAAAGGGACTAATAACTGGAAACCTAAGTGGAAATACTCTAGGACGGTAGTAAACTAAGTAACGAGGGGGGTTTTCATGAGCAATGATGATAAATGAACTAAGTAAGAACAACGAACGTAATGAATAGGTAATCAATGAGAAGAACGGTCTTGGTTATGCGAAATCCACTAATGAACATACAAATTGATCATAGAAGTCTCCTCAATCAAGCTCTATTGAACACCTTGTTGTAGAATTCCTAGATTCTAAATTCTCATAAATAGTTAGAAATAGCAAAGCGCTCCTTTCTAACCCTTTCCAATGCACAATTCAAGACAAGCGCTCTAAATTATCCACAAGAAGAAAATAAACGGAGAAATCAACAAGGATTGAATAAATTAACACAAGCGGTCTAATTTCTTCAATAATATTATTCCCTCTTCAAGTTATCAACCAAAAGCATGCATCAATAACCTAAAGTTGCTACTTTGGAAAGATTAATTAGA